AACTCCGGAGTTCCTTAGCCCGAGAACTCGACCCCTATGTTCCTGGAAACAGTCGTGTGACCTTCTGTACAACACTTCTCAACAAGCCCCCTTTTCTCACGTTAAAAACGAGAAGTCATCTTGTCTGAGTGTCCGAAGACGCGGAAGGTGCGCTGACTTGGGCTCCCTAGGGATGCTGACGTGGAGACAGGCGCTGGATGGAAGAAGCCAGTCCCACCCTAACAGCTGGCGGGATCAGCACTGTTGTCCTGAGATCTGTGGCTGATAGAGAAGCCCGGGGTGGCCTGGTGAGGGCCCCACAGGCCGCCGCCTGGTGAGAGGGAAGATACCCCGGAAACATCCCCTGTGGGCTGACCTGTCCCGGGAGCCCAGCAGACAGCTGAACCGAAAACTCCCTGACCACCAGGAGATTTGGGTGTCTGGGGGTGCACGGAAGCGCCCCGGAGACCTCAGACATGCGCCAGTCCCTTGAGAAGCAGGTATCAGAATGTGAGCCTCGCACCCCAAGAGCGCGATTCCTTTGGGTGAGGATGGATTTGACAGCAGATACATAGGCCTTTGTTTGTTTGTTTCAACCAACGCTGAGGTGTCACCTTCCCCTTTCACCCCTCCGTTCCCGCCTCCCCGGGTCCCTCGTACAGGCCCCACACACGGATTTTCATTTTCAACACGTAGCGCCCGACTGAGGGATCTGAGCTCACCGGCTCAGAAAACGGGAAAGGTCAGTCTGACTAACACCTCGCCTGGCGTCCTGGGATCAGCATCCAAGAGCAACAGATCCGAGATGGGCTGCAGGCTCCCGGGAGACCGGCGATTCCCACGTGTGAGAAAGCCCCGGGGCAAGGCTCCCTGACGTCACCCAAGTTCAGGACCCAGGGCTTTACCTGACGGGGGTGGGGGCTGGAATTCTCCCGGAAGAACACCAGAGCCAGGCTGGTGGGTTCAGAGGGAACGCAGGGGGGAGGGAGAGGAGCCCTTTTCTGCTAATCAAAGGAGAAACCAAATAAAACGGAGGGAGTCCAAGAAAAATACAACGCTATTGTTCTGGGGCAGAAGATGCTGGCTGGGAGGCTTCGTTGAGCAATGCCGGTCACACCCTTTCTCTGTGGGACTGCAGGAATGTTGGCTGTTTCCCTGGAGGCCAGGTGGGAGGTGGGCAGACAGGTCTATGGAGATGAGGAGTTCTTGGAGCTGGAACTCTCTGAACATCCCCATGGCCTTGCAGCTGGGAGGCGGACACGGAGCAGCAGGAATGTGGGTTGAATGAGGGCCAGGAAGCAGCAATCACGGTAAGGGACTGGGGAGATGGAGGTGGGGGGTAGAGAAAGGTGCAAGAAAACTCGGAAACCGGGGTGGGGGGGGGGGCGGGGAATGTGTTCCTTTTGTCCTCATCCCAACAGGGGCTTCTGTGTCCTCAAGGGCCCCCTTGGCTCCTGTCCACTAAGCCGGAGGGCGGAGACCAGGGGGAGGTGGCACGTCTGGGGCTGGGGTGAGATGGGAAGCAGGAAGTGCCAGTCATTTCACAAGAAGGCTCGACAGTGGGGAGGGAGCCAGGAAAAGCTGGCAGACCCCCCAAGGTGGAGTGGGGGAGTCTGGCCTGGCACGCAGAACCCCCGGCTTCCCAGAGTCCTGTGTGTGTGCCACAGGCCAGGGCTGCCGGCCCCCTCCCCCACAACACAGCCCTCTTTTCCACCCATGACTGTCTCTACAGTGACATGTCAGCGGCTGGCCCAACGTCCACGGTCCAAGGAAGGATGAGTGTGACTGACGTCTTGGCGTTAGCTTTTCCCAAGAGCGAGCTCTTAAAAATAACTCTCCCGAGTGCATGTGGCTGAGAGACCCCGCCACCTTATTTCCCCCGTCTCTGTCCCTCGCTCCTTCTCCTTCGATTTCAGCAAGAACCCTGTTTGTGCGGGTACTGCTCTGGGACTGCCTGGAACCCCACGTGTGGGAGAGAGGGACGCTGTTGGGTCGGCCACGGTCCGTTTCCTTCTGAACATGCCCATCCTTTTTTTTTTTTTTGATCTTTGTCTCTTACCAAAACTCTAGCTCCAACTCCCCACACTCGGACTTCTCTCCCTCCACTCTGAAAGGCGAAGACTCAGTTGGAAAACCTTGGATGCAGAATGGCTCGGAGTCACCCAGTGTCCTGTCTGGGTGTCACAGAAGCTGCGTCCCTCTGAGAAAGACCGTGTCATGAGGGCGCTTTCAATGTTTTCCAAAGAGCTCGTCCTGTGGTTGGATTTGTTGGTTCCAGGATCTCTGGACTTAGGCCAAGGAACGTTATTATGGATCTAACCCACAGTGACATCTGGATTCAGAACCTCTGGGTTCTCTCCCCCCCACCACCCCCCCTCGATCAATTTGCTCTGTGACCTCAGAAAAGCTACACCCCATCTCTGGGCTTCAGTGACATCTCCTACTCAAAGGCGGTTCTTCATCAAAATTCAGCACATACTCATTCTTTCTTTTCTCTCTCCCAAGGCTGGGGGGCTTCCCTTAGAGACCCCCCCAACATGCTCTCTTATGGAGGAGTCTGCTAGGAGTGAGTCCAAAGGAGCTTAGAGTGAGGGAAGGGTTGGAAGTGGCCAAGAGCTTTTTAGGCTGAAAGGTGACAGCCCCTTTGCCTTTAAGGAATCCCATGCCTTACCCTAGCCACAGAGAAGTGCTCCTCATCTGTGAGGCACCCACCCTGGCACTTTCGGGGTGTAGGGTTTGTATGGCAGCCACTACGGAAAATCTGTCTGAGCTGGAGGCGAGGGATGAGCCAGCCTGGAATGCTCCCACAGTCACAGCCGTGTTTACAGGAGAGCATATGGATGGAGTTTAGCTTTGATACATTCCCATCACTTTTTACAGAACGATTTTCCAGCCAATAAAAGACATACCTTAACCACTGCCGGCGTCCGAGTTCTGTCTGTCTGTCTATCTGTCTGCTATGGTGCAGGGGTTCCCAAACGACTCTCTGACCTCTCCCAGCCCTTTATCACAACCATCCCTTCCAGGATTCAGAATTTAAAACCTGAGCACTCAAAGCTGCGGTTTTTGCCAGCTATACGGAAACAGCTCTTCGAAGGGCCCTCGGTTTGGGGGTGTCACCTTTAGTGCTAGGGCCCTAAGTTGTGGCCTCAGCTGTAAATAAGTGATGGGTAGGAACCAGGGCAATGAGGAGGACATATTGTTGGCTATGTTCTCGGCTACAACGGGGTGCTCATGGGTGCCCTCTCTAAAAATACTATTGCTGCGGCTACTGCTGATAATAATAATAATAATAATCCTATCTAATAATAGACAAACATGGTAATTGACCGTACCTTCGCTACACCTCCCATTGGCTAATCAGCGCGATATGCAAATTAACTGCCAACAAAGATGGTGGTTAATTTGCATACGTAGGCTCCAAGCGGCGGAGGGAAGACCAAAGGCGGCTCCAGCTGGAGCGAAGGCCTGGGTCCCGGGTACCAGAGGAAAACCTGTGCCAGCAGCCAGGAGAAAGGAAGGCCTATTGCACGAATCTCTTCATGCAACAGGCCTCTAGTAATAATAATAATATTCCTTGAGTCACACATTGAAAAGCCGCTGTTCACCACTGCTTACTCCACCAGGTACCACCAAGCAGCAGGCCTGGATTTCCAGCCTGCTTTTCTCCAACGGGTGACAACACGAGGGCCCCTCGCCTGCAGTTGAGCTGGTGGGAGGGTTCCTGGCCTTTGGTAAGTGCTCAGCATAGGTTCCTCGGGTCAGCTCTGTGCCCATCAGAGATCGGAAGGCAACAGGGGCTCAGGGCAATGAAATACCACGTCCAAGTCCCCACAGCTGGTAAGTGGGAGGGTTGGCATCAAGACCCAGGCGTGTGTGTAGCCCTCATCTGGGCCCTGCCCACTCCTGAAAGGGGATGGCGAGAAGCCCTGGAAGCCACCGGAACAACCACTGTCCGTGCCGCCAGTTCCCCGGGACAGGTGTTCTGAAACGTGGGGCTTGGAGGAGAAGATAGGAGTCTAAGAGCCACAGGAGAGGGTCATCACTTAAACATATGCTCACGGGCTGTTACCGTGTGACCCTTGCAGATGTGCTGGATATTTGAAATGTCCTTAATAAAATTATGGGAAACATACAGCGCGATGGAAGCAAGAGGAGCCTTTGCAGAAGGCACGGGGGCCTTTGCCCAGTGACCCCAAACGTAACTGCAGCATTTTCTAGAGGCAGGAGGGAGCCATTGGGGCCGGACACTCTGAGCCCCATTTCCGGGGGCTTGGCCCTGGGAGTCGATTGGCTGGATCCAGAGAGCATCCGCCCCGGGATGGAAGGATGGGTTCCAAGAAACAAAAAGCCCCTTTTTTCTAAATGTCGCTGATCACCACGTTACATACTGCACAGGTGTGTGTCTGCTGCGAGGTTGGCGGGAGCCTGAACGTGACATGTTGATGATACCTCGAGTCTTGCGTGCAACTTTGTTTATATGTTGGGCTCTCCCTCCCAGACCAGGGCAGGGAGCCGCTGCTGAGCCTCCATGGGAGCCTGGGAGCGTCAGCACGTCATGGACATGCATGTTGATGTTGCTGTCTAACTATGTGAGCCATGGCCAGTTTGGTTAAACCAGTGGTTCTCAACCTTCTGGCCCTTTAAATACAGTTCCTCATGTTGTGACCCAACCATAAAATTATTTTCGTTGCTACCTCATAACTGTCATGTTGCTACTGTTATGAATCGTCATGTAAATATCTGGTATGCAGGATGGTCTTAGGCGACCCCTGTGAAAGGGGCGTTTGACCGCCAAAGGGGTCGCGACCCACAGGTTGAGAACCGCCAGGTTGAAGCAAAGTGCTGTCAGAGGGAGGAAGCCCCCTTTCACACAGAGGCAGCTATATCTCCACGTGCATCTTCCTTGTCAGGGGGTGTCCTGGTCCATGGAGGAGGGGTCACTACGGCCACAGGGACACGGGAACCCTGCTTTGATGTTTAACCGAAGTGCCTGGACATTGTGTTTTTATGTGGATGTCCCTTTTTGTTGTTGTTAATCCTCACCTGAGGGTATTTTCCCATTGATTTTTAGGGAGAGTGGAAGAGAGAGGGAGAGACAGAGAGAAACATCGATGTCAGAGAAACACGTCAACTGGTTGCCTCCTGCACAAGCCCTGACCCAGGGCCCGGCCCAGGGAGGAGCCTGTCACCAAGGTACATGCCCTTGACCGGAATCGAACCCGGGACCCTTGGATCTGCAGGCCAACGCTCTATCCACTGAGCCAAGCCGGCGAGGGCTGGATGCCCATTTTAACAGTTAGCCACGCTTTATGTCAAAGGGGGCTGTCGGCTTTTGGGAGCTGACACCCCCTCTTGGAAGGGAGAGCAAGAAAGACACCTTGCAGTGTGTCACCTCCGTGCCATCAGGGCTGAGTGGGAGAAGAGACCAGCCCTTCTCAGGAAGCCGCTGCCGTCGCAGCCAAGAGGGTGCTCGGGCCTCAGGTTGAGGCAGGTTCTCACCGAGCAGCCTAATGTTTGCAAAACAAGCGCCACCGGGATGAAGAGGCTCCATCTGCGGAGCCAGCCCGGGGTTGCGACAGTCTTGGAAGATGCGAGCTGGTGGGAGAGCCCGGGGAGGGGAGGCTGGGCGGCAGGCCTGTCCAAGAAATGCTGGCCCCCTCTGTTCAGGGCCTGGGATGCAGGGCGCTGAGCGAGGAAGGGCTATCTGGCCGGGCTAATTGTCCAGTGTTTATATTTGAAAAGGGATACTACACTTCCAGGATAATTCCCTCCAGCCTCCTCTGGGGCTAAGATTTCCAGCGGGCCTAGAATCCCGAGGAGAAATCAGGGGCTGATTACCTGGCCGGCCAGGCTGCAATCACACCTTTCAATACTAATTATCTGCTCCTTGAGTTCAATGACATTGAGCGTCCCGGCGCTGGCTGGGGCGGACCTGGCTCAGTGGTTTGCATCACTGGCTTGAGACAATGATTCGAACGGACAAAGTACCCGCACTGGGCCTTGATAAGCAGGAAATGAACGCTTGTTTGCAAATAAGATTGGGAAATGCGATCAGTTTCTTGTTCGGCATTTGTCTTTGGGTTACCGGCCTGATAATACTAACGCAGAAATAATATGTTAGAAGTCACCAGTGAGGGAGCCTTTTTGTAATGATCTCTGCACTCTGCAACTTTCTGAAGCAACGGCAGGGGCAAATGAGATGTGTTTGCTTGCGTGTGTGTGCGCGCACACGCGCGTGAGTGTGTGTGTGTGTGTGTGTGTTTCTCTGCAAGTATTCTAGCTTGAATGTTTCTTTGCGGAGATTTGGGGAGATGGGTAATGATTTGATAGGATACTTTTTCAGGGTCGAGATTTGGTCATAAGCATGGCTTTTCCCTTCACTGAAGAGAAGTTTTACTTCTACTTAGATGGGGTTCACTAGTTTCATAACCAGCTTTGTTGCATACTCATGCCCGGGGCGGACTGCTTGGGGGCTGGGACGCATGCCCAGTGTTGGGGCTCTTGGAGGAGGAGCACCTGGGGCGGGGGCGGGTGTGTATGTGGAGGAGAGGCGGATCCAGGCCAGAGATCTGCGGAGCTGCCTGCACTGGGGTCCATCTGAATGTATCATTTCTGGAGAAGGAGTGCCCGGGACAAGGAGTAAATGTTCTCGGTCTGTAATCTTTTGGGGAATGTTGCTTTCATATCCTGACTCCTTGATCATAAACTAGAGAAGGCTGAATTGTGTCCCCACCAAAAAAGATGGTGAAGTCCTACCATCTTTTTATAAATGCTACCACTTATAAAATTTTATATGTGAATTTTGAATAACTTTGGCATTTTAACTTATTTAAATGTTTTAATTTAAAACTCACAAAAATATATAATAAAAAAGAAATTTAAAGGAACTTGCAAAAAAAAAAAAAAGATGGTGAAGTCCTACCCCCCAGGACCTCAGAAGGTGACCTTATTTGGGAATAAGATCATGACGGATATACTTAGTTAATGAGGTCACACTGGAGTAGGGGGTGGGGACCCATCCAATAGGGTTGGTATCCTCTGAAAAGGGGAAATGTGGACACAGACACATACAGAAGGAAGACGCAGGGGGGACACCACGAGAGGGTGGGATTGGATTGGAGCAGCTACAAGACCAGGAACACCCGAGGCCACCAGGAGAATGCCATGCCCAGGTCTGCAGAAGGATCATGCCTCTGCCGATACCCTGATTTCACACTTCTGGCCTCTGGGACGGTGAGACAATCCACTTCTGTTGTTTTAACCCACCCGGTGTGCGGCACGGTGTGATGGCAGCCCCGGGAAGCTAACGCACGTCGCTTCCACAGAGCCAAACAGTTTTGACGGGAAGAGCAGTGTCAGCCCACCCACGCCAGGGAACATGCGCGGCCTTCGCTTTTCCAGCCCGGGCAGCGGGAGGTTCTCCTGGGCCTGTTCCTCTCCTGGAGGTGTTTTAGTTTCAGGGGACGAAACCAACCACAAGCACGCCCCGGGCCACATTACCAACAGGCCAGGATGTAACCGAGACAGCTGTTTGGGATGGTGGACTTCCCCTCTGAATTCCTGCTTCATGCTCTTCGCTTCCCTGCCTTCACCCTCGAAGGGCAGCCAAGAGAAAAACACTAAGAACAGGAATTGACTTGAGAGCCAAACATGGTGAAAACCACATGCAGGTTTGCCCTGGCCGGTGTGGCTCAGTTGGTTGGGCGTTGTCCCGTGCACCAAAAGGTTGCTGGTTCTGTTCCCAGTCAGGCACAGACCTAGAGTGCTGGTTGGATCCCCAGGAGGGGGTATGCAGGGGGCAGCCGATGGATGTTCTACTCTCACATCGATATTTCTCTCTCTTTCCCTCTCCCTGCTCTCTCTCTCTTTAAAAAAATCAATAAAAAAAAATCTAAAAACAACAGCAACAAACACCA